GAGGGGAGTTTGGTACGGTCCTGCATGTTTGGCAGTATACAGTATGTCCATGTTGTAAACATGAAGGCCGGCATTCTTTATGCTCAGCAAAAGCAGATTCAGTGGAGAACTCAATGAGCCTGCTTCCTATTCAGCATAATGATACTGATGGTACATATCTGGTAACATATAAACAGGACAAGGACACAAACAAAAAGCAAGAGAGAGTATGGCAACATGTTTCTGGCATTGATTCAAATACAGTCCTACATTGTACAATAGAAGTATACATCACGAAAACAAAAAAGACAGAAGGAGTGATTGCACATATGTACAAGAATACAAAGAAGAAATACAGCGAGTAATAGAGGAGACAAGACAACATGTTTCAAAGTGGTGTATTTACCTGCTGAGAGGCTTCTCAACACATTTTGACAAGGTGGTAAATGATCTTACTGAACTTTGGATGCTTTCCCTTTTTAAATCCCAGCGTTTGTTTTTTTAAAACAAACAAACAAGAAAGAAAAAAATAAAACACAACAAGCTGTGTGAACGGTGCTCTAAAACTGTCTCTGCACAGCTGGAGCAGCACAGTTTTAGATGCAATTGTGCATAAGGTATTGGACATCTACACAGCTATCAACAGAACAGATTAACCCCCCCATATTTAAAACATAACTAAGATTGTTTGAATATTACAGTCATACACACAAAGATGTACATTTAAGAATGAGTCATGTGTCCGGTGCATGCAGACCTATACTGTATATTGTAATTCTATATCCCGGTGCTTTGTTTTTGCACCATCTCTGCTAAAGGGCCTACACTTCATTGATTTAAGCTCCCCCATAGAACTTAGATGTCCGGTGGTCACATGACTGTGGTGAGTCAAGCAGTGAAAAGAAATAAAAACAAAAAATAAATCTCTTAAGTGTGCTATAAATTTACCTGTAACCACATTTGCCTCATCATTTGATGTGTTCTGTTTGCATGGAGTCAAACAGTGGTGAGGAATGCAGGCAACTGTAATCAGGTACTGGCAGTATTTTTGAAACGCACTGAAATCTTGTATTACTTGAATTACTCTCAGTGCATCATTTGGTCACAGTCAGTAGCATTAATGGGACGCTGAATAAATATAATATTGCATTAGATAATGTGCGGCATCACACAACACATTGGTTGTTGCCAGGACAGGTAGATGGCAGTTTCATGTTTATTTCAGAGAAAATTCAGAGACTGAGGTGAACTCAAATATATAGTTTGAAAAGTTGGGAAATTGCTAATTGACTTTCTTGCTGAGTTAGAAGACTGACATCACTTATTAGTCATTTAAGTATGAAGCTAGGGCCAGGACACAGTAAGTTTAGCTTTGCACATAGATTAGAAAGAGGATGAAACAGCTAGTCTGGCTCTGTAGAAGTGAAAAAATCTGCCTACCAGCACCTCTAAAGCTCATTAATTAACATGTTAAATCTCATTTGGTTAATCGGTAAACAATCTAAAATGTAAAAATGACAAGCTGCAGTTGTAAAGGGGATTATTTCCATCAGAAAGCAATGACTTCCTGGAGTCTTTTTGTCACTGTGAGGTTACAAGGCAACCATCGGAGACTGGTTTGAGCTCTATAGATGCTGATAGTCGGATTTTGGACAGAGGCAAGCTAGCTGTTTCCCCTTGTTTCCCCCTTGTTCCAGTGTTCCAGTCCAATGCTAAGCTAAGCCAATCGTCTCCTGGCTCCAGCTACATATTTAGCGTACGAGAGTGGTATTGATCTTCTCATGTAACTCTTTGCAAGGGAGCAAATTTCTCAAAATTTTGAACTATTCCTTATAATTTCATATCATGTGCATACCATAATATGTATTACTATATTTTTAAATATTTTTTTGTCATGTCCTTATGAAAATCATAACTTTATGCATAGTTCTATGGGAGGGATTCAGACCTAAAACTTGGCTGCCACTGTTTTAAGTCTCTCTCTGGTCGCTTTAATATTGTTGGAGCTCTAACTATACTGTTTTGCTGCTTCAGAAGTTTTCCAAAGGAACCAACAAAGACCATCAATTTGAGCTTTAGGTTGCCAGCAGTGTGTTATTGATTGTACATGTACCGGTAGTTACTAGTACATGCTCCTGCTAAAACTGGAAGAAGAGAAACTTGAAGAGAGACCCAGTTTGGTTCATAAATTGCACTCAGCCCAAGAATAGAACACACTCTCATATATATATATCTATATATAATTTTAGCAGTATTAGTGAGAACTTATTGTGATATTATATCTATTATTTATACTATCAAAACAAGGCATATACGTTACTAATCACAATACTGTAAAATCAACAACCTCTATTAAACAAGGACATCAACAGCTCTGAAAGTAGAAAAAGACACACGCACTCTACTAAACTCACAACTGTTCTCAATGCTCACATATACAGTTAAATGGATTTTGCCCTCTTGATGAACAAAGACCTCTGAACGGAATGTAAAAGAGAAACACTGGCCAAGGAAAATGAAGACGTCAGATTTTTTTTTTCTTCATAAATAAACTCTAGCTACTCAGCTGAGCTCTAAAGAGTTAGTGCTTGAGTTTTATGGCTTTAGTTTTATCTTATTCATTTATCTTCTTTACATGTACACGTAATTGTATAATAAACACAGTAAAAGAGACACAGCCGTGAAGGGTTTCAGGTCATTTAAATAGAAGTGAAAAATAAAAACTTCCAAGTGAAGAAAGAGAGAAGGGATTCCAAGTCATTTGTGTTCACTGGAATAGGATTATTCTTCTTTTGGCCCCTGGAAATGGATTTTATGTAAAGATATGATCCAACAGACTTTATTCTGGGTCAGTACTGGCACTAATAATGACTCCCACTCCCACCTACAGATTGCAGAATTATTCAATCTTCAAAGTTATTTCAGAAAAACACTGTGCCAAAATCTGCTGTTAGAAAATAGTCATCTTATAGACTTGGAGACCCCATCCCCATTCCAAACATTAAAATCAAAATCATATATCTATATATCTATCTATATATATCTATATATCTATATATATAGATATATATATAAAAAGAAACAAATGGCAATAAAATTCTGAAATAAGTCAAACATTGGCCTTCAGATAAGTGCTGAAACAAATGTATGGCAGATAAATGGCAACAAATAAAAATTTTGACCACAAGGAGTTAGATAGCAAGCATGCGGCTACATTTTCATCCTACATGAACTCACACACAGTACTGGACGACACACTTGCTTAAGAATTTTTCAGGCGTGGAAAGGTTCTTATTAGTAATAGTACTGTAATATTTGTATGACATTCTCTCCAATGACCCTCATGGAAAATAAATACGCATTTGTTTCATTTAGAAAATATACAGTGCATCTTTTTTTTTTTTCTCCCTTCATTGTGTTATTAAAATGACAAATGACACCCATTTACGTACACGAGATATTTTTGCTTCGTCTCTAAAACATGCTCTTATGTACAGTATTTTGTATAAACATGCAGTATCAACATGTATGAACTATGTATATAGGCAAAACTACACACCAATGGGTTGCTTGATTGCTTCCATGTTGCCTTTTCTTTAGTGTTGCTTCATCAAAAAAAGAAAAATGGTGATGTGAGGTGAAAAACAATGTGAGCATGGTCTATGTTGGTTATAAAAACATAAAGAGTTACAATTTCCAACAGAGAGAAAAATACAAGAGCCAGCATTCATTAAATTCCAAAATAAAGAAATAAATTGTCATCCTGTTTAAAATGTTGACTGCATTTCTTTCTTTCTTTTTTTTTGCACACAGTCAACGGGTAGTTTTTGCTGCTGGTGCTCACACACAGCACTGATTTGAATTAACTAGACTTACAACCAGGTATTCTGGAGTCGAGGCACCTGGCTAATATCAACATATTAATCAACAATTAATATTTCACCAATTTATTCAAGGCCTGATGAGTTTGGATTTTGTCAAAAGATAAAAGTTCATCCTGAAATTTTCTCTCCAACAGAATATTAATTTACAAATACACTGAAGTGTGAACTGATTACATTCTGTGAAGGAGCCAGGGAGCAACATTAAGTTGAACTGTGTCTCTTTTCCTATCAGAGGAGTTCATTTATATGAGGAGACCTGTCTGGTGTGCCACATGTGCCACAGAAAAATTCAATCTCACAACATTTTATCACAAAAAAATAAAAAATAAAAAATAAAAAATACACAGACCACAGAACAGAATAATACCCAGTAGTGCAATTAAATTCAACAGTTTGGTAAGCTGTGTATAAAATACACATGGATCAGTGCCTTCTTCCAGACCATATCCTTGCAATCAAGTGAGAAACGTAATGTCCAAACAATCTAAAGACTTACACAAAAAGGCAAAACAACAACAAAAAAAAAACCTAATATAATGCACTCCCTTGCTCTTTTTTTTTTTTTTTTAAACCAGCTATTCTTAACATAAATAATTAAAGCTCTGGTTTCTGAGGGTACTTAAACATAACATTTGGATTTAAAGTGCTTGAGGAATAAAAGTGTTTTAAGTTAAGTAAAATATAACTGGATAAATAAAAGGAGAAGGAAGAGAAGAAGAAAAGAGAAGAAAGAAAGAAATGAAGAGAACAACACCGCTAACTGGAAGGCGTCCCTGGTAGTTGAAAATTGCTTATTTTGTTACTTGGAAGGCTTGTCTCCTTTATGACTGTAAGACGGTTATAGGGATTCCTTTGAAGTAAAACCCTTGTGTCAAGTCCATGACTAATGGCAGTAGCACTGAACAAGTGAGATACAGAATCAGAGGCGTTAGGAGGGGAGGTGGTAGACTGCAGGCAGTAATCGACACTTTGTAAATATCATGTCATTGGTGGTTGGAATCAGTCTCTGTTGTACCCCACTCTGATATTTCCTCGCATTTTCGTTGTTCGGATGACAGACGCAGCCTTTTTGCACAGTCAAAAATACACAAATACCCCCCCCCCCCCCTTTTTTTTTTTTTTTACTTAAAATCCATCACTTCCTCCCTCTCCCCTGACGTACCATTTCATGGATAAACTAGCACTAGTCGCGAGCCTTACATCACCAAAAAAAACAAACAAGTGGTCAAGCTTTTGAATCCAACATTTCTTTCTCATCAAGTGGAGTATTAGAATAATAACAACCCGTTTAGAAAAAAAGGCATGGAGTTTCAGTTTCCTCTCAGTTTTCCTGAGACGAAGGGTGGAAGGTCAACTAATCAAAACGGCAGTGTGTTTGTGGGTAACCGGATATGTGCCTATCCCTACTCGCTACCCAACTCTAGGAATGTACTTCAAACTAACAGAATCTTCTAGTATGATAACTGGCAGGTGTGGAACATGGTGCACAATACACCTAAGGAATGAACCTGCTTGTGTTATTTCTCTATCTTATGGCAGTATAAAGCATTTTTATTATTAAGCACTATTCTAAGCAAACTGTGTCACTAAAGGGAAGGGGTGAGAAGTACAACATGAGTGAATGTATGTTTTATCCCCTCTATCACCAGATTCCCATATAGCACGCTTACTGTTCTTCATAGTCTACTCTGTATTCTTATTAATGGAACCACAACCCCAATACAAAAATAGATCTAAAGGAAATCAACGGAGTCTCTGTCCATCCTGTAACTTGTCTTATTTTCTCAATGACATGATTTAATATAACATGATGATTTTTAAACTATATTTCCCATCATGTTGAATGGTATTTGTGGATCTTTTGAAAGGTGGCAGTGGGAGAGGTAAGGGGGTGGAGTGGATGCACAGTCGGGGTGTTCTTCTGGAATATACACTGATATGCGGGCCTGATGGGAAATACATGGGTAGACAGGTGCAGGTGGGGGGCGATGTGGTCTGGTGGGAGTTTACTTCTTGGCATTCAGGGCTGCGAGGGAGGCATCCACCTCCTCCTCTGGCTGCAGTGGATGCCACTGGGCGATGGGACGACGGGGGTTGGCCAGCATGTCGGACCAGTGTTTCAGCCCGGCCCCTGTGGACTTGCTTCCCACCCAGATCTTCCCAATGGCATCGTTTTTTCCAATCTTGTCATAATCCAGCACTGTGATCACAGCTTGGATTTTCTGGGGAAAATGGGGGGAAAACATTACAACAAGGCTAATTCTAATTCTAAGTACTGTTGGTTTTGGTCACTTTTTAAAAACAGTCCAAAACCAATAATTCTGCTTTTATTTCAAAGTGAATTATCACTGAACTCTCATGCTCTAGGGAGCTTTAAAGCATCTTTCAGTGTACTGTCTTAGCTTTCTGGTCGCAACTTTACTGTGTTGGTTCATCATTGCGTCGTTTCCAGCCACAGCATGGAGCTTGTTTTCAGTGAAAAATTGACCAAAACCCACTGTACACTATCTTTCCAGGTCCAAAGAGCAGACAGACACTGTTAGCAACTAGTTGGTGAACATAGTGGAGCACTTGGCAGCTAAAGAGCCAGACAGAGCCCTCTGGATTTGGTGGTGGAGACCAAAACAGTGCTAAAAATGAGAGATAATTGGCCATGTGGTCAGAAATATGTCTAACAACTTCTGATATGTCAATGATGTGTTCACACCTTGTTTCTGCTGACCCCCAAGTGGCCGAAAAGGTCAGTTATTGAAGGCTTAAAGGACAGGATAGGATTTTAAAACAATTCAGATGTTCATTTAAAAACTTCTTTTTTTTTCTCTGTGATAATTCCTCATGTTCATACTGGCCTTCTGGATTTCTTCTTCATGTGATTTCAATGTAAGTGAGGGGGACAAAATTCACAGTCCTCATTTTGTCCAAAAATAAATTCAAATGTTAATGTTAATATGAGGCCTTAACTGTTTCCATCCAACATCTTTCCCATACTCTACATACTGCACTCATGCACACATCCACCCTCACCACCGACTTAACTGATGAACACATCCCATGATATCCTTAGTTCATTTTGTGTAAACTGCTCTATCTTAATTTAAGTAAACCACCATTTGCCTTCATTCTGCGTCTCCCTCACTTTTGTCATGGCATTAGATTCGGGTCGTGACAATGATCTGACACTTTGTGACAAATTGTCCACATATACAGGTCTGTTCACATCCTCATCTTTAACCTAAATAAGCCCATCTTTATTTGTCATATGCACATAGAAGAAAAAATGTCAACAATGTCAATATTTCTTTTGTCTTTCATGCCCATATATCAGTTTATGGATGTGTGTCTGCCTGATTATAGATTGCTTGGTAGGACAACTATTTACTATTTACATATTTGAGTTCTCACAGTAATTAGTAATGGGTACTTCTAAATCTGTAGGACAGTATGGTGCTCTCTCTAGCTCTGACAGATGTTTTAACAGATTAATGCATGTCCTTACCTGCATTTGCTCAAGAGGAATCTCAAAGCTGAAGGACTCATTGTAGTACGGATTCAAAGTGTTCTTCTTCACTGTCGTTTTCTTCTTCTTCAGCCTCTTTCCATTCTGCAGCAGGTTAATTTTCACGTAGGGAAATACCAACAGAAAAAAAAAAAAAAAAAAAAAAAAAAAAAGGCAAAATCATGATAAGCTGATATAAAAATGCTTTGGGCATGCATGTTTGGGTTGCAGTGCTGTAATGCACCAACAGATGGGGCCAATGCTGAAGCCAGAGGGAGTGAGAGCTGCTGCATGGTGTGTACTGCAGCGTCAGCACGTGAGCAGAGCAGGAACGACCTAATGGCTGTGCTCACAGGCACGTTCTTATATGCACTGCAGCTGACTAAAGCAGCTCATTTTGTCAGACTGTGAACACTGAAATAGTGTTATTTGTGATGATGTCATAATGAAATGCAATATCTGATGCTCGGGTCCGTGTATATACAGTACCTGACAGTCCACCCACGTCCATCTTCTTCAGGTTCTTAGCCTCCAGAATGCAGATGGTGAGTTTTCCAGCAGTGGGGACGTAACGCAGGGAGATGCAAATGTCACCCAGCTTCTCCGGCTGTGAGGATCAGGGAATGAGAGAGAAAGTTAAAGGAGATCCCTGATGTACAATACACAGATACACAAGCTGTTACATTTTAAATATACCCTGTCAATATCAATCTTTCCCTGCAGCCATTACTGCTGTAACAGCAGCAGGAATTATTTCTTAAGTACCTCGAGATGGTCTTTGTCAAAATGAATAAAATATCTGCACTGCAAAAAATGTAGAGTGTATGTCTTTTTAAGGTGGCTCTGGGGAGGCAGCCGAAGTGTCGACTGAAGTGTGTTATTCATATCCTCGTGTAGCATGATGGTAAAGGCATGAAATTACAGGCTGCATGGCTCCAGAGGAAGCAGTGCAGTTGGTCAGGAACCAAAAAGCATGTCCTTTATTCTCATTGGTACACACACAAAGTTGGTAACTTGTGCTCATGGTTATTTTTGGACTATGTCATCCGCTGTTTATGTTGATGAGATATTGATTCAATGAATTTCCGTATGTTAAAAATCTCTTCATCTGTTAAAGTGTCCCAACCAATAGTCTTAATAAGTCGTTCTAAACTGGCCTTACCTCTTCTTGGTCTGCGCTGTCCAGGTCTCTCCACTCCTCAATTGGCTTAGCCAGGTCAAGGGTGTTCATGGGTATTTTAATCTCTCCAATGATATCATGTTTAGAGAAGCGATCAAAGTCATAGACGGACATTACCAGAGTCTTCCCTCCCATCTCTGCGAATGGAATCTGTAAGACAGTAACCAGAACCCAGTTCACTCACTGGTATCATTCCTAGGAGGTGGATATCAGCACAATTCACACATTTCACAGTTTCTAAAAAAAAAAAAATGTTTAAAAATTCTGCCAGATCAGAAATACAAAGTAATATGGGTTGTGACTTTGGCCTATGGCTCAAAATTGCCTGACTTAATAAGATGCTGCTTCAGCAGCACTGCCCTGACTTTGACAAGGTAAAGCTGTTTGAATTGTTTTTTATAGAGCTTTGTCAGCAGGCAAGGTGCACCAGAGGTGGCCCTCTCCTTTAATGTGATTCTCTACCACACTCTCCTTGTCAGACACCTTCAATATGTTTGCTGCTTTTTATCACCGCTGGCTCGTAGTGTTAGTAAAAAAAAAGAAAATCAGAATCGAAGCAGCTGCTAAGCTCTAAAAGAAAGTGATAAAGAAAGGAGGAGCTGTTCACCTTTTACAAGACCTATCTACCCATCAAACAGACGGACGTACATGTTGTTTTAATAAGTAATAAGTGAGGGGTGAGCAGGAGGTGTTTCAGCTTACCTTGAAGGTGAAGGTCTCGTTGAAGACAGGATTGAGTGTTTTCTTGTGAACCTTTGTGTCGAACTTCTTCTTCTTGTCAGGGAGGACAAAGACCTTGACGTAGGGGTCAGAGGTGCCACCGCTGTCCATGGAGAGGAGATCAGCGGCTTGCAGGATTCCCACAGTCAGCTGGGGAGGGATGAGGGAGGACTTAGGTGATTCAAAGGGAGTATACTGTAGATCCTTCGCAAGCCCACACCAAAACTAAATCCTTCACAATGTCCCTGATCCCAAGTTTATTTTTGAGTAATCAACACAGCAGTACTAGGACAGAGGAAATGTCACACAAAGGAAACAGGTAGTGACTGTCCCTTCGTTTTGACATGAAAATGTAGAATGAACGATTCAAGTTCTTGCCTTGTTCTCCTGGAAGTCGTAATCAATGGAGTACTGCAGCTTCCCAAGCTTTTCTTTCTCCTTCACTTCCTCCTCTTTCTCGTCCCCAGTCAGTCCAGGTTCGACATCATCTTCTTCATCATCGTCATCCTGTTGTTTCTGCAAAGACAGAAAGGGGGGCAGGTGGCAAAAGAAGGAGTGAGAGGACGGTCCTGAGGCGGCGGCCGTGCTGAACACCAAACCTCCAGCATCAGCAGTCGGGTTAGTCACAGCACCTACCTGCCACTTACCCCCGCTCACCCCGGTGTTACAAGTGCAATCTGTTCATCGATGACCACGGTTGCAACCTGACTTGATTTCACTATTTCTTGGGTGACACCATTTGCTGTTTTCCTTTCTTTCTTTTTTTTTTTTCATGAGAATTACAGGTGTGTTAAAATCTGACAAAATCAGAGGCAGGGGATTTTCTCCTGGACTACATATTGTTGTAGAAATGCCATTTATATAGATGTATAGATATAGATTAAATAGAACTCTGTGTTATTGTGCGAAGAGTGGAGAGAGAGAAAGAGTGAGAAAAAGAGAGAAGACAGAAAAAACAGTCAATATACAGGAGGTGGACAGAAAAAAACAGGACCCCCCCCTTACATTAAAATGCAATCTAATACAACAGCCGTACAAAAAACCTCTGGAAGTTTTTTTTTTTTTTCCCCAGTTATAACAATGCTGATTATCCTTTATTAATGAGAATTGTTTTTTATTCTATTTACAAATTAATATGACTCACTTGTGTAGCTGCCATTAATTGTGACATTACGGGATGTGGACAAAATAACGGGAACATGACAACCAAGGGAAAGTTTGAGGGAATTCAAGGTTATAAAGGCAGCTACACAAATCCTATGTATGACTCATTCCAAATGAGTCATATTAAGTTTTCCACAAAGTCTCAAAAATCGTGACGACGTATCCCACACAGATGAACGCTGCATTGGCAGAGATGAGACAAAATCCTGAGTAAACAAACTGAAGGATATTACGGGATACTTTTTTTCAAAAGAACCACAAAGCTAAACCTTTTTGACACGTAAAGCTTTTTTTTGTTTGTTTGTTTTTTACAAATGTAGCATTTGTTGCAGAGCTGTAGCATTGCATTGCACTATAGTGACAGGTGTTGCTGTTATTTTGTCCACCCCGTGTACAGTATATTTCCAGTACAAGATGTCACAAGAAGCAGTGCGTCCTTACTGAAAGGAAGTGAAGGACAGATGTGATTTTTATCAAACCACTGACGCAGTGATTCCTGACACTTTTCTTGAAAAGCTCTTAAACTTGCTAAAACCGCAGGCAAATATCCTCGGATAACGCATGCTGTGCCAACTGACAGTGTAAGCTGTTTGACAAACAGGTTTACTTCAAGCCAAACAATATTACTGTTTGCCGTTTATCTCCTCCTGACATACCAAAGACTCATTAATGTGTTTACACTAGTGTTGTTGATAGCACTTTGCTGCTATTATTGTACTCTGGCCCGATTATTGCAACTACCTGAATTACTGAAAGATTTCACAATTTATTCCAAACAGTAATCTCCAGATTTTCCAGTTGATACGCTAATGTGAATTATTGTGACTCGTGATCATACGCTATAACAAAATTCAGCAGTTTACTGACAGTTAACTGCTCCTGAGATAATCTGGGTGTGATGAAGGAGATAAATCAAGTCCTCTTTTGTCGTCCATTTGCCTTAACATCACACCCAGCGACTCTTCAGTCTTTCATCTCCTTAGAGGCGGCCGCGGCTAATCGAGTGAGGGCAATTTGCTCTGATATCAATATTAAAGTAAACTTTCATTTTCGGACGCTGAATGAAGCTGGATAATATCTCAGTATGGCCTACTTTCCTATGGCTGTCTTCTTGACAAAACACTGATGTCTTCGTAAGACTGGAGGGTCCAGCTACTCACTGATGAGCTGGAAGAGGAACAGGGCAACACACACAGAAAATACACACACCATCACACACACTGCACACCACACTGTAGTGTCCACACCCCATGTACATACCCACACACACACACACACACACACACACACACACACACACACACACACACAACACATTTGCTTACATGCAGGCACTCATGCATGCTCAAAAACCCTCTCTCTCTCTTTCACACACACATTCTTACACAATATTCCTTATATGTGGCATTCTCTATCTTTATTGTGGTAAATGCTTTTCATTCAAGCATGCCAGGCCACACAATGCAGGATCCAAGTTTCTTTCCGATGGCAAATGTAAATGAATTACCTTATCATTTCTGAAAGTAAAACTTACGCTTTGATGTTTTTTTTAAAAACCCTCTGTGGCAAATTTTTGTCAGGCCCAAAAATTTCTGTACATATGTTCTGAGTGAAATGTACACATCCATGGAGGGATCATGCTACATTGAGAATTTCCAGTTGTTCTCAAACTTCCAGTGGGGGTTCAAAGACAAAGACATGGTATGTCTGAATGAATGCCCTTTGGTCAACTCCACGGGGTGAATTGCAAACTCAGCACGGAGGTTTTTACTGAATGAAATATGCGTTAACACAGTCAGTTGACTGTAGCGTGGACTTTCAATCGACTGAAATCAGGCCTCTGCAGTTGACTGCAAATGTGGGCAAACATTCTGGCCCACCATTTCTCCTCAGTGAGACCCGAGTGCTTCAGGGAGAGAGAGGAGGGGGGGGCATCAATGACTGTCACCTAGTATGTCAGCAGCATGGGTCATCCAGGAAAGTTACTCTCAAGTCAAGTTGTGGCCATTCAATGGTACCTACTGCAAGGGCATATGCTGGTCTTTGTCAAGCGATACCAACAGCTTTAACTGTTGCGGAGCTCGGAGCGTGTTTGCACAGTTGGGGCGCAGCCTGTGAATTTCAGACCCAGGTCAATGTATATCTGGAGGGTAGATCGTTTGAAAGGTTTCAGCTTTTGGTTGTGTTGCACAATCGAGGCCTGTCATGGTGGAAACATGCTCAGAGCTCTCAGTTAGGTAAAGTCTCAGCTATTATTTGACAAATATCCAGCTTACCCCTTGCACATGCATGTTAGTGATCTCTAGTGAGTTGCTGAGTGCACTCGTCATTCAAAGGCTCAACCATAGGATGAGTTTCATGTTCATTTCAAACCATAGACACTTAAACAGGTCTTTGTTCTGTTGTTTTTTGCCAAAAAATTGCAATCTCTGTTTAATCAAGACATAGCAGTTGGTGCGGCATATCAGTTCAGTGGATTTTGCGAAGCAGCTTAATCGCTCCCATAGATTCCTCAAGCACCCGCAGCACCTAAGCTTGCAAAAAACTAAGGAAGCCATAGCACTCATCGTCATCATCATTGCAATCCAAATCCCTCCAAGCCCAGCCCAGCCCACCCCCACCACAGCTCCCCCCCCTTGCCATGGTCTGTGCTTACACAGAGCGGCCAGAGAGGGGTGCCGCGTGCCATCAGACCTACCGTAGGCAGAGAAGTCCACCACAGTCAAGATACACGGAGCACACATAAGACACAAAGCAGGAAGGAGGAGAGCAGAGACAAAGGAAGAGATTGAACTCACAGCAGACACCAAAGAAGGGTAATCACAGCAAATGCAGTCAGCTACACTGTAGGGAGCGAGGAAAATGACAGATAGAGGAGCCTCCTCATTAGCACAATCGTATCTTTGCGCGGCAGGGCCGTTGGGTTTTAAAATAACTCCAGTTTTAGATGTATTCTTATTGTGCTTCGTGAAATCATCAATCATACGTGTGAAAAAATAATAATCACAGGCCCAAAACAACACCATTGTGGTAACTGCTAATTTTCATAATTACTCTCTAATGACTGAAGGAAAAAACAATGGTTGGGCTCAATAGATAAGGGTGCTGTCATTTTCCACTCAAATCCCAAAAGCACAAGTGAGAGAAAGAGCAACAATAACATTTACGACAAATACATTAAATAACGAAAAAAAGAAAGAGAGAAATAAAAAATAATCATGGTGCGTAAAGAATGTAATTAACACCTGCGGAGAATACACTGACTGGGTTAAAAAGCCATCAAAAAGTTACAGTCTGTGCCAGTGGTATTAATCTAATACATTTCGACCAGGAAAATATTTTTATTTTAATGTTAATTGGCTAAAATGTGAAACGTGATGGCTACTGGTCCAAATTGTTATAACTGAGTCAGACTTATCACTACATGCATGTTTTCTCTCTAGTCTGTTACAAAGCTAAACTCCAAGTTCCACAGCTGTTACATAATAGTCTCATATACAGGTTAGAGCTGGCTGTGGTTTGCCCTGCTTCGTACACAGTGTGGGTGTAAATTCCACCAAGCCGTGACACGACCTCCTGCGGTGAAACATACCTCTCCGCCTTTCAGGTTCTTCATGCCCATGTCACCCTTCCCCTTCTTGCCCTTCTTGTTCTTCTTCTTCTTGCAACAGCATTTCTTGATGATGCAGAAGCAGCACGTTAGAATGAGTAAAGCAGCGACCACGGCAATGGCAATGATGGCCCAGGGTGGCACTGAGGAGAATATACAGACCAATGTATAGATGGCACATCCACAACCAGAAAGAGGAGAAGCAAATACTTTGACATTTGACCAACCAATCACTTAGCCTACTCCCATGTCATGTCCTGGGCCAAATATATTTAGTAAGAGGTGCTAGGTTAGCAATTAGATTGGATGGAAATTAGATTTCTCAGCCATTAGGAGGGGCTGCCAGTGATCAATACTGAATGAAGACATTATGAGGCTGCCGATGCCTGCAGCAAAATAGAAAATCTAATTCCAAAATCATTGCTTAGAGTCACATCAATATGAGTTGGTTGATCGGGACAGGTCTGGGTTTTGTCTGGCACTCACGTGGGATCTTGTCGATTTCATTCAGGAACTTGTTCTTTATCTCGTCAAAGGCATCGTTCTTGTTGACTGGTTCGGTGGCGTTGTCATTAGAGACTAATGCGACAGGGGCTGGAGTCACAGTCAAGGCACTGGCCCCTGTTGGCTTAGCAGCGACCATGGGTGTTGTCTGATGCCTGAACAAGTTAAACTTCGTCATTTAGGCTGCACACACAGTCCCTGAAAAACAGCAAGAAAACATTTGTTCATTGTCTGATAAAGTTATCCAGCCACCAGTGACTTCTATTTAACCTGCACATTATAATCCCCTTGTGTGCCATCACACAGTCACAGGCAGATACTGACAGAAACTCATTAAAGGGTTGAGTCACTCATCCAATTTTAAGGTTTTAGGCGACGTCTGAAAAAGCAAAGTGGGGCCAAAACACGCCATGGATATACTTGGTGACACACAAGTCAGACATTTATAATAATGCATAAAGTTAGCAGAAAACAATCAAAAGAGGGAATGATTCAATCAACTCTGAGTTATCGAAAGATTCTGGCTGCAGCTCAGGTGGTAAAGAGGGACAGCTGTGAGAAGAATGGTGGTTTGATCCCAGGCTCCTTCTGCTCACATGTCCGACTGTCATTTAGCAAAACACTGAACCCCAAATTGCTCTTTGTAAGTGTGTGTGCATGGGAAAAAAATTGAGGTCACTTTGGACAAAAAACATCTGCTGCATAAATGTAATGTAATGAAGCACCACTATTAAATATGGGTCATATTGTACGGGAAACAAATCAGTCAATATATTTCCTGTTGAGAGAGTATGTATCTACAAAAGGCCCAGGACTGAGCCACTTGTCTTTTTCTTCTACATCTGCCACAAGAGCAAACACAGTCAGACAAACAAACAAACCGAAACAGGTTTTCCAAGATTTGCCGCAGATGTGAGTCCCATTAATTCAAATGCTGGCGAGTGTCATGGAGGTTTGTTTGCATCTGTAATCTGTATTAGTTAGTCAAGCTTTATCATTCAGGAAGTCTCAAAATCAAAATTAAGATTTCTTTTGCAAGAGAGATTTATAAAAGAGATCTTGATCAATTTGTTTTTAAGAGAGACTTGGGAGACTAATGAAAACATTCAATTAAATACTAATGAAATTAAAAACAACACTTTATAGTCCCCTAGAGGGATGAGTGTTTCTAACTTCAGTACAGTTTGTTCTGCAGTTCAATGCAGTTGTGAGGTGCATGGCACTGGAAACAAGTACTTCCCTGGTGTTAAACCACAGAGAAGAAAATGACACTATCTGTCAAACCAGTTTTTTTTATCCACAAGGTTTCCTGTTACTCCCAAAGGCTTCATTCAAATATTTTACATTGAAATTTTCATTTAAATTCAAAGTGTTTTCTTGACTGTGTAAACGTGCTTCATGAATATTTTACCTCGTCTGTTTGTTGAATAGTTACAGTATGACCAAACCAGTATATTGTGTAATACACCCACATCAATACCATGATCAGTTTCAAACAGTTGCTTTCTTTCTCCACCAACTTACATGTGTCCATGTAAAAAAAAAAAAGAAGAGAGAAACAACAAAGACAGCTGGAGGCACCTTGTTTGCAAAAAAACTGAAATATCTGTTGAAGCTTCTGAAAGGCAGGAGTCACTGTAAAGGCCACACACTGTGGCAAAAGATGAGCAGAAGTGATTGTAACATAACAAGCTGAAAAGTGATCACTTCAAAAGAAAAACTCCAGATGGCGTCTTAAAAACACTTCAGTGATGCTCAGCTAATTCTCTAACATCTTACCCTATAATTGTGCAGCAATATGACAGTATAATCATTTTAAAATCAAAAGATATTGATTCATATATATGTAGAGCTTCAATGATTAGTCGATGCTTCTCAACTGCGATCAGTGGGGGCTTTTCTTTGTCTGATGTGATAGTAAACAGAATATCTATAGGGTTTGAAGTGTTGGTCGAATGACACAAGAAACCTCAACTGTGGGGAATTATAACAGGCATTTTTGTCATTTTATAGACAAAACCTTAGTTGCAGGCCCTATATGGATGTGATGATTCACGAAGAAAGGATTATTATTAAAAGTTAATGCAGGTGACTAATAGTGCTACACTGAGTAAATTGAGTAAATTGATCCATTAGAGATATTGTCCACAGTATGTTTAAAAGTTTAACCTGCTTGGCCAATTCTTAAACATGACGCCACAGGAAGTGCAAAATAACTTTGACAAAGTGTCTGAAAACTTATGATTAAGCTGTTTTTTATAACTCAGCCAAGGCCTGAGCCCTTTGTCTGTGTGCCATTCAATCAATTTCCACTGAGGAGGTGCATAAGAATTTATTTCATAAAATGACTGATTGCGGCAGTCTACACCACAGTCTGCCATTTTATAGTGTTTCTAACATATTTCACAGGGTTGTGAGGTCAGTGGATAATGATTTGAGATCAGTTACCAACAATATTTATGAGAAATAACCATCAATCCTCAATTTATCACACCTTTGTTCTGTCTGGACGTTGCTCTGTACCTGAGCCAACACTGCCTGTCCAGGAAAAGGTGCTTAAGCGCCGCAAAAAAACAAAATGAACAACTGCAAGCCATTCTCCAGTGGTGTTTCCACAGGCCAAACAAATGTTCAATCAGAGCTCTTATCGGTTCCAGAAATCACACTGTGACAAGTGCAGCTGAAAGCAGCCTGCCAGCAGAGTGATGAGTGATTGGGTGAGACCTCAATTCAGAAAGCAGAGAAAGATGACAAGCATAACAAGAGGAGACTTCTGCTGTTGATTTTATTAAAGTCATGGCGATATGGGCAAAAATAGAGGAATTTCCTATTTCTGAAATGCCAGTTCTCCAAGTTGGTGCCAGAGATTCTGTTTCTATTTATTGCCACATATTAATTATTTACATTGAGACTGACAGCAGGAGGGATAAGCTTATATTATTCAGGGGCCAGAACCAGCTTGTACATCTTAAAATATATGTGTCTAAAATAACTTTATGCCGTTATGTAGGATGATGTTACCAAAATCCTGTGACAATATACTGAGATGGGAACTGAAATACTATCCATGCATTGTTTAGGTTTATTGATGAAATGACTCAGAAAGGTTGTTTTGTCCGTGTCTTGTTTTTATGTTCTTTGTGGACCCCAGGAAGCATCGCTAACGCTCTACATCAGCTAATGGCGATCCTAATAAAATCATAAAATCCTAGTATCGTTTTCCTCCATCTCACACATTTGAGAATGAATGTGTTGCTCAATAAAACACCAATCACAGGCCTCACTGTCTCTGCTCTGTATTATACATTACTGTACATATTGTTACAATGTTAAAAGCATCCACTTACATCTGAGGTTTATGTGCATTTCATCCTGTTTGTCCCTCACACCAGGCCAAGCCAGACCAATTAAATTAACATTCATGGATATGTGCTCAAGCATTTTATCTCCTCCACTCTGAGTGCGACAGTGAGGACGGCCAGAGAGGACACAGACTTACGGCATTGTTTTATTACAGCCATTAGTCCTGCTTCACAGCCAGTGTTTGCTTCAGACGAACCAACTATAACCTGCTTTTTCTTTGAAAAATGCAGTCTTACACCTTTCAAGCCATACCTTTAAATGAGGTATTTAGCAATGACAATTTGTGAGGAATTAGCTGTGAACTGACAATGACTGTCACTAGAAAGTCAAAGAAATCCTCAACAAGAAACCTAGCTGCTGAAAAAAGACTGGTCTACAGCCACGCAAGCAGCTCTGTGAGGCTGTACATGGGCACAGTGATGCTTTGACCTAAATGCTAACATCAACATGCTAACAGGTTCAGAATGAGAATGCTAACTTGCTGATGTTTAGCAGGTGTGATGTTTTTACCATCTGACTTTACCACATTAGCATGCTAACAAATTCTAATTAGCACTAAACACGAAGTGCAGCTGAGGCTAATGGGAATCTCATTGGTTGTGCTAGTATTTGCTCACAAAACAAAGTACTGGGTAAATTAAACTTCTGATGACTGTACTAGCTTAAATGCAAAGGGAACACCAGAATGATTACAATTCATCCCAAGGATGACATGAATGTCTGTGACAAAGCTGGAAATCTATCCAGTAGTTGTTGAGACATTTCACCCAAATCACAAAAGTCAACCTCGTGGTGGTGCTAGAGGAAAAGTCAGCAGATACGATACGTCATTTGGGAACCATGAACATTTGTACAAGCTTTTGTGCTTGTTGATGTTGAGCTATTTCACTGGATAAGTGAAAACCTTCACCTAATGGTGACGCTAGAGAAAAAAAATCAAGAAATCACGATCAAGTCATCAGTATTCATCCTCTTAGGACAATGAATGTCTGTACAGAATTTCATGGCAATCCATAGTTGTCGAGATATTTCAGTCTGGACCAAAGCTGTGGCCTGATCCGCCTGACTGAAAAGCCAACATCTACATCGCTTGAGTCATGCTTCTAACGTGGCTAAAGATCAAAGGGAACTTAACTATGCATACTCAGAAATAACTATATAGACACCACAGTTTCCGAAAACTGTGATTTTTACTGGGAGGTTAATGGTTCAGTCCCTTAACCAACAGATTAAATCTTGGAAAAATAGTAATAGAGCTGAGATGCCCTTGAGCAAGGCTCCAGACCTCCATCTACTCCAGTGGAGGTGCACAGTGGCTAATCGATCAGACTGTGGTCGTGCTGAGCAGCTTTCAGGTGTGAATGTGTGTAATTCTGTGGGTGTAAAGCAGGGCGTTGCTGAAACATGAGCATTCATGCTCAGGAAAACCTTCCCTGGACAAATTAAAGCTAAAAATAGACTTCTTATCCAATATTCATTTCATATAATACTCGATTACTGCGATCTGTGGGAGTTTTGAGCTCCATCTCCCAATGTGAGTCTCATTTCGATAACGTTTGAGTCATCACAATTCGTTAAAACAAAATGGCTTGGCTCCATGGCCCAGAGCAGCTCAGCTATGGGCATGATCGGCCCCTTATCACTAAACACACTGCTCCGAGTTGGATGGGGATCAAGCACTTTTATCTTTGCACAAACAGAATGCATATAGAAATCTCACGTACTAACAAGGCAGTTTTACTGAAAATTAACTGCAGTACATAAAGGTTAAACATGTCTACAACAGCCGAGAAGCATGAAGGTGAAGGAAGGCATCTTCAGTAGTAGTAAAAAAA